CACAGAGAGTCAGGACCTCGGTTTTACGTCTCATCCGAAGGACGGCGCCTGTTTACAGTATAGTGCCCCCGTCACTACACTGGGGCATTAGGACCCACATGGACCGCAGGGTGAGCGCCCCCTGCTGGCCCCACTAACACCTCTTCCAGCAGCAACCTGGAACCTCCAGCAGCAAGCTGTTCAGCTTGCATGTGCAGATGTGTGATCTTAACCCTACACACGCATTCGCCCTGATCTCTTCAATAATCCTATCAGCCAGTTGGCATGTATATGGCTCTACAGACACCACAACCATAAAGACCCCCCCCCCACAAACTTCCACAGCTGCCCTGTCACCCTGTCACAGCTGCAGAACCGGACCAGCCCCGCGTTCATTCGTGACCCGGCCCGAGTGCATGACATTTAGGAAACAACTGAAAGGCAGGGTTTGGAACACCCTGTCCGGAAGAACTTTGTAGTAATTACAGCCTGACTGGAGCTGAACTCGCACTATAAAACGTCCTGCAAAACTGCTTGGATTCAGACGCCTTGGGTGTGCCTTCTTCGGCGTGCTCTGGAAGATGGCCTTTTTCGTAAACAAATCAGAGCTCATTTCCAACCACTCAACTGTGCTGTGACTTCTAGTGTCCACTGCACAGCCGCACACGACACAGGGAGACCCCGCTGTGCAGCAGTTTGAGTTTTGAGCCAACAGCAGAGGCAATCAAGAGCAAGCTCTAGGCTCAACAGGACACTCAGAGAGCAGCTGGGTCCTTCGAAGCTTCTGCTCTTTGTTACAGAAACGTTTCAGATATCATTCATCATGAAGGAATCGTTAAATCAGTCCAGTTCTTAGCTCTGGGTGGCCTTAGTTGATTATTTAGTTGATTTGTGTTTCCTGTTCAAAAACAAATCAGGGCTGGGTTTGGGGTTATACAGCCACCACTTTCACTGCTTCACCTTAAAGCTCTTTATAAACTCAGTCGTCAACAAGGCCCAGGAGTGAAGTACAGGCAACCAAGCACACACACTTGATCTCATCAAAATCATGGAGGAAAAACTACAGTTTAAAAAGAAAATATTTTCTGAACTGTGAAACACTTCAAAGTCTGTCAACTGTGAAGCACTTCTCCGAGAGTCGCTTCTTTACACCAAGGCTTGTGGGAGTATGCAACAGCTGCTGATTAGCCAGAAGCTTAGATCAATTAGCGATCAAATGAAGGACCTAACGGCGGTTTCTTGCTTGTAACCTTCCTCCTGTTCTTACGTAGTTCATCCAGCACAGCGAGTCTGGGCCCTACATTTGATTTACAGGGACCTGCGCGTGACAGTGAGGAATGAAAGCGGTTTATAAACCATTTACAATCTTGTTCACAAAATCCCGGCCCGGAGAACAAGCCTGTCAGCCAGCTAACAGTGCTAACAAGCCTCCCCACCTCCCTCGCTGGGCAAAGCCGAGCTGTAGAAGCTCTCCCATCTGACATGCCTTTACAAAACGATACAGTCGTTACAACAGGAAGGAGGGAGACGTAGTTAACATCACTTCGTATCCTGAATTGTCTTCGGTACAAGGACATGAGAAGTCTGAGCGTTTCATTAAGGTCGGTGAATTTGCACGGTAATTAAGCATATATTTGCTTAATGTAGTTTTTCCAGTTTGGATCTTACTTACACGTGTTGTTCCAAGGTTTGTCCTACTTTAGCGTGTCCTGGTACGCAGCATACAATAGTATACCACAGCATAATGATATAAGGCTTAACAATTACTGTGAGGAAGAGATCAGCTTTGAATTACAGTCATTGACCACTGCAGGGAGACTGGAAGTATTAACTGTCCCTCCCATCTCTACTACAGCACTGGATTACTGAATGAGCCAGTGCAGCCCAATAGCTCTGCCACATTGTACTGCAAGACACAGGAGCCCTGGAACACTCTGACCTTGAGAACAGCACATTCTTGGTTCATTATGATGAGCGCAGGAGAAGAAGGCACAGGAGCCAGCCAGCTTAAAGGGCCCAGTGTCCTGTGCAATTGCCCTCACTTTAATTGCCTCTTTTACTGTACAAACATTTTTCCAGGAAAGCACGCAGGCCAGTCTTCTCCACTTAGAGAAACTCTAAGTACATTGCTGAAAAGAAAAAAACAACTCAGAAAACACAGGCTACTAAGGGAAGTAAAATCTTCCTTGTGGCCTTGCCAACAGTCATACCATCTGAAGAAGTGAAGAAAGATTAGAGGAGAGAGGAATAGCTCATTTGCTAGTAAGCAGCCAATTGATCCCAGAAACTCATCCAGTCGTTTCTTACAAGAAATTACAGCATCACCTTCAGAAACACGCATTAGTGTCTTGTGCCATACTCCCTTCGTTTACGGACTCCAGCAGAATGTGGGACCGAACTGCCTCTTGTTCTCGGCAGTTTCCACTTGTGTCCCCCAGTGTGTGTTTCTCTCTTGGTTCTGAAAACACGTCCACTGGGGCGACTTGGTGGGTGCCTTTGAGGATTTTGAATATTTGAATCGGACC